CCCTTTTTGTACATCATCAAAACTTAGTAAATTAAAATGGTCAGCGAGGCGTTTTTTTGTTTCGCTAGCATTTATTTTCAATTTGTGGGGCATGCTTTTAGGCGCCCGGCCATCTCCCATAGCTTCTGCTTACCATTTAGTTTTTTGTTTAGCCACAATTTTGGATTGAAAGTTTCGTTTTTCCCCATTTTTTGTTTTTTTTTTTTCCTTTTTTCAATTTGTTGCGTGAATTTGTGTGCTTCAAACCTTGTTGCCTTTGTGTTTGGAATATTGATTAAATGGAAAACCCGCTCTGGAATGTGAGTAAAAACAATTGCAGAGGGCACTCGGGTTCATTGCATTAAAGCCTGATTGCACAAATAAAAGCTTTGGCAATCGCCGGGCCAAAAGGTTAAATTCGGGCAATTTATTAACACACGTGTCGAGCATTTATTTTTTGGGGAGCGAGCTAAAGCAATTTGTTCGTCTGCTAGCTTCGGTTAATTGAAACAAGAATTCACCGAGTTTAAAGGAGCGAAACATTAGCTTAATCACCGGCTCACAACAAAGGGGCGTGGCCGATGTCGGGGCCGTTGGGGGCTGATGGGGCTTCATTCACGCCTGCCGCTAAGCCTTGCCGAAGGAAGTTGTCTCGGGTGGTCCATTAAAAATGCATTTATCATTTGGCATTTTGAAAAAGCTTCCTTCCTGCCATTCCTCGGTTCCTCGTGGCTGGCTGGCTGGATGGCTGGATAGCTGGCTAGGAGGCAACTGGCAAGCAAGCAGGAGACTGACACCTTGTATCAGGATATAAGGATACTCATCCTTTCTCAGCGAGCACTTTAAGCTGTTTGTGTTTTTTTTTCGAGAATAAAAGCGAACACCGAGCACAAATTGTATTTGTGCTGCCACCAAGACTGAAAACTTTTACTTTGGCCAAGAAATATGTACGACTTTGGGTTTTTGGGGGAAAAGTGAAAAGTGCAAAGTCTATGCAACTTGGGGCATGTTCAAGCGCTAAACTGTTACTTCCACATGCTGAACTCGAGCCGGGGGATCGGAGAATCAGGGAGGTGGAGAAACAGGTCGCCAATCTGGCTCCAGCTGGCCATCGATGTGGGGTTTCTATATAAGCCGAGAGCCGAGACAAAGGCGTTCCCAGAGTGTTCATAAAAACTAAAGCTACCATCGCCCCACCACCCCAATGCCCAACGGAAGAACTAGGTCAGCCATGCACTTAAAAAAAGGATACCGTATCACCTTTTAGTGTTGAAACTCCTTTCGGTTTGCTTTTATAGTTTTTCCAGTTTTATTTAATAGGGAGTCTAGCCTTTTAAAAATATAATATATTTAGCTGTTAGAAAATGTGAAATGAAAAGTTTATTACCAAGTGTAAAGACAAACAAACCGACTGGCTGTGCCAGGTAAAAGTTGCCGCCACTCGGGCAAAAGTGAGTGCGAGTTTGAGGCTTCCATTCATGTTTAGCCGCAATGCAGCGCCTGCATAAATTTCATTAGATTTTAGCCTCGGGCCCTTTCTGTCCCCATTCCTTTGAAGAGTCTATAACAAATCAATTGGCCTTCATCGGAGCTGGAAGACACATCTATATATTCATTGGAAATGGCCTGGGCGGAGGCACATCTGAAGCACATACCCGTAAATGGCTTCCTAATGAAGTCATAAAGTGCCCGGCTAAGGCAACTAGATGCCCGCCATTAAACGCACCTTGAGCCAAGGCCAAAGCCACTGCCAAGTATGCTAATAAACGTAAACCGAGCCCCATTAACAGGGGAAGTTGAAGTCGTAAAAATAAAAATAACCGAGAACCGAATGATGAGTGCAGGGAGCGATTTCCATGCCCTGGCGGCACCGGCGGCACTGGCGGCTCCTTTGCCCAGAAAAGCAATTCCCGATGAGCTGATAAGCTGACGGGAAGCAATGCGAGAAGTGGTAACTAAAGTTCATCACTCGGTACAACTATAAATGCAAATTTTAGAAAATAAAAATAAATATTTCATGTTTGAACTTAAGAGGGCAGGAAAGTTTTGAAAACTGGTCAGTTGAAAGCATAGTCTTCTTAAAATAGTCAAATGGTTGAGAGACTTTTCGTACTTTCTGTATTTATTAAGATACCTTTTCCTTTTACAAAAATATAGGCCAAAAATGCTAAAAGCCTGGCGGGTTCAGTAGCTCGTTACCAATAAACCAAGTCCCACCTTTTAGGTTATAGCCCTCGGGGCATAAAACCTAAAGCCCTTAGAGTGGCTGCTGGCAAACGGCATTTACCTTTAGGAAAATGTGAGAAAAATGTGCAGAGGGAAAAGACAAAAGGAAAGTGCGGTCAAAGGAAAATGCAGAGGAAAACCGCGAAAGCCCCCTCGACACAAGCTGAAAAAACACATATTGAACATGCGAGCCAGCTTTACGGGCTGACAATGATAATGACTTTGGTCTGGACGGGGCAGGAACGGGATGGGAAAAATAAAAAGTAGAAAGCGAAATGGAAGCTGAACTGAAATGTCTCCGCGGGAAGTGCATTGAAAACGCTCTACACGCTAATGCACCATTATCAGGAGCTGTGTTCCGTAAATCTTCACTTGCATCCGCGGTCTTGAAGGGCTTTAATAGATATTTATGGGGGCGATGATGGGTCCAAACATTTGCTCTAGATCCTCGCCCATAACTTTGATAAATTGTTTCCAGCATTCTTCTACGGGAACAAAAACACAAAAACTTTAAGTTCAAGTGCTTAAAAAGTGAGGTAAAAGGCGAATAATAAAAAACGGCTAGCCAAGGCAAAACAAATTGTGGCGAAACAAAAACTGAAAACTACATGAACAATTTGGCATGCAATGCGAGAGGAAAACGAGCCAGAAATAAAAAAAAACAAGAAAGGAAAGCTAACTTCGGGCGGAGCCGAAGTTTATATACCCTTGCAGTTAAAACCGGATATATATCGCAAACATCGGATATAGTTGGCCGATCCTTATGGGAATAGGAATATATAATCCAATTTATTACAATACAAAATCTAAAAAAAGTCCCAAACTTCTATCTTCAAAAATACGAAAGTTGATATTTCTACCAAATACCATTTCCGATCGTTCAGTTATATGGCAGCTATGGGATATAGTCGGCCGATCCTAATGAAATTTGGTAGGTTGGATCAACTGACCAAGAATTAAATCTGTACTAAGTTCCAGCTTTCTATCTTCAAAAACACGAAAGTTGGGTCATTTCCGATCGTTCAGTTATATGGCAGCTATAGGATATAGTCGGCCGATCCTTATGAAATTTGGCATGACGTAATGTTTTGCCAAAAATAGCTCACATGTCAAATTTGAACTCTCTAACTCTAAAAACACCAAAGTTATACCATTTCCGATCAATCAGTTATATGGCAGCTATAGGATATAGTCGGCCGATCCGGGCCGTTCCGACTTATATACTGCGTGCAAAGGAAAGAAGGGTGTGTGCAAAGTTTCAAGACGATAGCTTTAAAACTGAGAGACTAGTTCGCGTAGAAACAGACAGACGGACAGACGGACAGACGGACAGACGGACAGACGGACAGACGGACATGCTCATATCAACTCAGGAGGTGATCCTGATCAAGAATATATATACTTTATAGGGTCGGAGATGTCTCCTTCACTGCGTTGCACACTTTTGACCAAAATTATAATACCCTCTGCAAGGGTATAATAGGAAGGGAAAAGTGGAAATCCCAGGGACTCTGTCTGATATTCTTTTTTTATTTCGCCAAGCTTGTTGCATTTTTTTAACCACCTTTTTTTTCGGCGACAGGGTCTACCGGAAACCTTAAAAACGAGCAGCGCTTCGAATTTATGTGCTGCGCAAGTGGTGACTTTTAGTTTTTCTCTCGCCAGGTGTCAGACATGGAAGGCGAATCGGCCACTGAGGATGGGGAGTGGAGCCACCACTTGGTGGCCGGTTAAATGCAATCCAAGCCAAATCCACCAGCTGGCAGTAACCAGAGAGAAAAGTCGATTTCCCTCTGCGCTATTTTCATTCCACCAAACTCTCATGCATTTCAATCAAATGAAGTCGCATAAAATAATGAAATGGCAATGCAATACAGACGCAATCGCTGCTAATCGGATCGGACTTCCAGGGACGTCGACCAGAAGGGGCCAGTTATTCCGCTGGTAATGAACATTATTCAGTGATTCGATTGGCCAGTGGGCCAACGCCATTCAGTGGGCACTGAAACCATTTTAATTAACTATCTCCTGCAAGGAAAACACGTGTTTCCCGCTTCTCGCAAGTAGCCCCTCTAAAGTCGTGGGGTTTCAATAGCACTAAAGGGTAGTTAGCTTTTACGATATCCTGCAACAGCATCCACTTAGGGGGGGTGCATCGGGTCGGTTAATGACCCGAACGCCACTCGATGGCCCATTAAATGCCAATCCGAAACAAGCCATAAAGTTTATGCAGAAATAAAATTAAATTAAACGAGCTTAGCCATCCCCTAATCAAGTTGTTTACACCCATAAAGGATCCCACTCAAGTAGGGATTGCCATAATGAAGAAGGGATTGCTTCGATTTTCCTACTCTAGTGGATAAATATTAAGTGGAAAAAGTCTGCGACTGACAATCTAGTCATTTGTTTTTCTCAAAAAGTATAGAATACACAAAGAAACGAATAAAAACATTAACAGTAGACTTCCGCTTTGTTATAAAAAGTAAAAATTATTAAATAATTATGATATAAAGTGACGGAAGCTTTCAACTTGAGATAAATTGGTGTATAAAGTTTCTTTTTGTAGTGTAACAATTTTGCAGCGTAGCCGCTTTTGTGCAGGTAATTGGTCTGCGCCATCGATGCTTCCTGACCACCAGGACCTTCGGGCCGACTTCGTCACAGGAAATTGGCGCAAATTCCATTCCTGTGGAGTGGCATTCTGTGTACATTTTGCATGCGAAGCTATTGAGCTATTGATATCGATGGAGATTCGTCTGGCTGTGCTGGATGATATTTATTGGCGGCAGGATAGCCAGGATGCGGCGGGAGGAACTGTAATCAGAGGAACAGCTCCTCGGGAGAGCAGAGGGCCGAGTGCTTCCTGTTGCGGCCCGTCTTACAGCCCACGGGCCGGAAACTGTAGACCTGCTGTCCGCAGACCGGCGCCCGGGCGTAGTTGCAGGTCAGCTTGAACTGGGTCAGGTTCTGTACCAAGTACTGGGCAGCGGCGCAGCCCACATGCGAGTTGCCCTCCACGGCCATGACCGCAAAGTGTCGGTAAATCCTGTCAATTAAACCAACTGGTTAGTTCATCAAGTAGCAGCGGATGATCCGCACTCACTTTTGCTCCTTCACGTCGCAGGAGTAGACCTTTAAAGAGTCAGCGGTCATGTTTTCGTACTCAGACCACCAAGTCTGGGCGCCCAGGGAGAGGAGTTCCGGGACAAGTTTTTCCAATAGCTCGTTCTCCACGTTGTGGGTCAGGTTGAAGACAATAATATTCTGGCCGGAGTTGGGAAAGGTCTTGCTGTTGTGGCAGTCGTCGTGCTGGGCCTTGCACATCTTGGCATTGAACTCCGCCAAGTCGGCCAGCTCGCTGCTCCACTGCATTGCCACCAAGCGGGCGGCTCGTGGCAGGGTGGGCTCCTTCCCGTTGGCCAGGCGGTTGCGGCGCTCATTGTGCAACTTGACGATCCTTTCCGTGTGCTCCGTCAGGTTGACCAGCTGCAGGCTCTGGATGGAGCAGGAACTGGAGAAGCTCTACAGGGAAAACTTTATACTAAAGAGAAACCCATTTCATCGAGCCTACTCACCGCGATTGACTTTTCGCAGGCCACGTGCTTCAGTCCCTTCGGACACAGCTTGGGCTGGCAATAAGGACTTTTCGGCACGGCCAAAGACCCCAAGATCTGGGCCTCGAGGGCCAGGAAATGAGAGAGTACCGCAATCAGAACCAGGAAGAACTCCATGTCTAGGCATAAAAACTACTGTGCCAAGCCAGGCAAAGACCTGGCTTTTAAAGCTTGGCAGGTCGGCTTATAAGTTCTAATCAGCTACGTTAAACCAGCTGAAAGTTGTTTCAACTATTTGTATATCCGCTTAACTGCCACCGCACAGCTGTTGGATACGAGTGGTTCTGTAGCAAGGCTATAATTGCCGTAGACTTGGTAAAAGGAGACGGCTATGAAGGCGGTAGAACGAGAAAGTACAAGCTACTGTGACAGAGACAGGCTTGCCACTTCCCATTGTCAGTCAGTGGGCCACGAAATTGGCCGCGAAAAGTTGTAGCCAACATTCTGTTACCAAAAATGGCTGTCATCATCGTCGTCGCGTTTAACAGTTGAATGCCTTCGTTTTTCGAAGCGAGTTTCACTTTCATTGGCTGTTACACTGCAAAAAAATGTAGTGCGATAATACTTTGTATAAAAACTGGATCTTTTTTTGGTTTTATTCATTATTTATCTCTTTTACTTCCGAAAAACACCACGCGGATAAAACTCAATTAGCGTGGTGGCTCTTTAACGTGGGGTTTGGAAAAAAAAACGGAGATTATCCTGAAATCGAATACATTTTATTGCTGTCGGAGTGTCAGTGGCTTGGAAACGGATAAAAATTATTTTCGCCATTTAAGCCCAGCATTCATCAATACAAAGCTAACTTTAAGTGGTTAACAATGGTCATTCCAAAAAGGTCGAGTTGAAGAAGATACCAAACAGTCTATTGTTATGAAGAAAATACTATTCATAGAAATATTATTATAATTTTTGCCAGTGACTCGAATGCCAAGGCCTCTCGCATTAGGCCACATTAAATACAGTTTGGACAAAACGACACACAGCCACAAACAGACACACACACCCACCCCACAATCACAGACACAGATTGAAGGCCAGGCATGAAAAGCCTAATAACTCAATATCGGCCAATTGATTGTGGCCAAAGTCACTGCGACTTTGGTTGCCAGCTGAGCCGCCTTAGTCGCTAATTGTCTGACAACTGATGCTCGAGCTGATTTGCGTGTAATTGGGTCGACAACTCGAACTTACAGGCAACTTAGTGGGAACTTAATTAGGCCGAGGCAAAGACAAAGGCAAAGGCATAGGCATAGGCGACTTAAAGGACCAGCCGTGATCCTGTGAAGCCTTGAAGCTTTCCTGGAAGACGAATGCCCGAATTATGCGTAATTATTCATGCCACAGACTCTCATAGAAAGTAAAGCGAGCGCGTGCACATGTCAAGCGGCCAACTCTGGACGTCTGTCTTGTTTAGTAGGTTGTAAATTTTAATGCAAAGGAGCAACATTTTTGTGATTTATCGCTTTTTGGGAGACCCTGGCCCCAACAGGCCAACAGGACCAGAGGCCGTGGTCGCAGTCGAATCCGAAACCGAAACCGAAAAAAGGGCATGCATTAAACAGCAGACAAGGGCCAGCCTCGCTCTTCTCGGCCGGAAGTCCTTCAGCCAGGAGTCAGGACGGCTCCTAGATGTGGCCAGCACGCGTGCACCTGTTGCCTTCAGCGCCCCGCTGGCCATTCTGCCTCTTGCCTTTAGCTGGCCGCAAAGTCAGTTTGTTTTGCGGAAATTTATGGCCTCGGACGTGGCCAAGGCAAATACAATTTTTTCGCCCCCACCCATCTATAATTTATTTTTAATAGAGAGACAACTTTCTTTTCGGTCTTCCCCATAAATTTTCAGCCAGCAATCAAAGGGAATGGAACGGAACCGAGCACGGGACCAGGAGGAGCATACAATTATGCAAGCATTTCGCATTTAAACGTCATTATCGGATACTGGAAGACCGGCGAATAGCTCCATTGTATAATCTGGGGTAACGTATATCTGGTATCCGTTGCATTCTCCGGTATACGTTTCCTCTCTATTGCTGTCAGAATTTTGCAATTGAATAATCAAATTGAATGGCCACAATTGTCTGGGCCCGTGTCATTGTACACAACACACACACATGGATGTGTGTGTTTGAGTTGATTTATTGGCCAGGCCAAAGCCGCACTCGGCTCTTGGCCATAACTCAAAGCGGGCTACTTGGTCCGCAAATATTTGCTAATGAAATTGGGAGGGGCACCGGACTGAATTTGAGAATCTGAGGATCTAGGAAAACGTGTCAAAGGATTGCCCAGCATCAATATGCACATAAAGTTCAATATTTCCACGCCATTCCCCGAATACGGCCAACAATAATCCCTAATTTTATGCAAATCTCGTCAAAGTACTCGGCTCTCTTATTTCAATCCCCGCTCCTCCACAACTCAACAGCTTAGCTGGCAAAATCCTCTTCCCCGCGACTTTCTTGTGGAGAGCGGGTAGGGAGAAGGCTAAAAACTTTTTAAGCGCCAGCGTGGAAAACTTGTCCGTGTCTTGCATGCCAAGGAAAATGTGTCAACTGCGCCGAAAACTCGATTCGGTTTCAGTGAGAAACTCTGGTCATGGTTTTGCTTTCGGTTCTTTGGTTCTGCCCCAAAGTCGTAAACATAAAAAAGGAATCCGGCACACTGCGAAACTCCCTTATCCTTTTTTTTCCTGGCCTGCCCTATTCCTCTTATCGGCCCTCCCCGCTTAGCAACCCAATTTAAGTTAATTAAGTTGTTACACTTGTGATCTAACACACAAATCGCGAAATAAAAACATTTTCAGCTTTGTTCCATGTCAGTCTGTGTTGCTTCCGTCTTTTAAGGACATCGAAAGCCGTAAAGCACTTTCAGCCTAAAATTACCATAGTAGAGGGGAAGTTGGGCCATGAAAGCGGATTAACTAATTCATTTGCATTGCTTTATATTATTATATAAACTAGGTAATCTCTAGGAAACCTTTAAGAATAGACTCAACATTTAAGGTCAGTTTGTACACTTTTTGATCAACCTAATTATGAGAAGAATTCTTTTATATCTTAACTCATTTGAATGTCTAAAATAAATTCTATTTTCATAATGTCAAGTTCACTCTAGAGTATAATTATTATGCAAGCATTTTATTATGTACCTACCCACGTGCGAGGGTGAGTCCTTACAGGTTTTTTAATTCTTTCGAGTCCTCGCGCATTTTTAAAGCCGCTCAGAAATATGCAAAATTGTTGTGTATGTTTATATTTTGCTTTTTCGCTTTGTTGCTGCCTGAAATGCTGTGTGTGAGATGGTTTTTGGTGTTGCTGCTGGGTGAGCATTGTGTTCCCACATAAATTTTAGGCAAACACAAGCAGCACACACGTCCCACTCTCGCTGGTTTATTTGGGTGAAGGCCATGAACACAACAACTACAGCAGCCAACAGCAACAATAATAAAAAAAAAAGAATCTGAAAAAATAAAAACCCAAAGGCTGCCACCACCAACAGCTATAGCTACAGCACCACAACGGCCAAATCTCAGAATTAAATGCAATTTAGTGCAGCAAAGTGGCAACCCACATGTACAAACTGACACAATCACATTTAGTTGCATGTGAGGGGGAAAAAAAAAAAGGACCAGAAACTGTCGCAAAATTGTCGAATGTGAAAGTTTTCCCCTCTTGCGAAGCTTTTGATTCGTTTCTGCAATACGCATACAAAATTACCCAATTCATTTCCAGTATAACATGTCAATTTGTATTGGCAAAGGTCGAGGGTCGAATGCCGAGGTTGGAGGGAAAAGGTAGAAAATATCGAGATGCTTGAGATTTTCAGCCTGCTTTCGGCTTTTGGGAAACTTTGAGCGACAAGTAAACAAAATGCCCCAGCTTAGGCGCCACTTACAAATGCCATTAGGCCCAGTTGAAAACATGGCAACAACAATAATATATACGGCTGTATAAAAAAAAAGGGCTAGCAATTTCGATCCAAATGCCAAGGCAAATGCGCTGTAAGCTTACGGATTTCTATAACAATGTTGAATTTTTGAACACGGCATTTGATGTTGTTTCCACATTTGAATGTTAAGTGGCCGCTTTGTCAGGACTCAGCCCCTGGCTGCTAGGATGCTTGGCTGGTTGGCTGCGTGGTGAGCCCGAACCCGAACCCTTTACAGATAAACATCGAGTCTCCTTCGACGGGCTGAGTAATCTCCACCCATTCGTCTTCATCTTTATCATCTGCCGCCCCAGCACCTCCAACCTGGCCAGAACCAGGGTAAAGAAGTACAAATTGAAAATGCAAATCTTTGGCACAGCTCAAAAAGTGCAAAACAAATAGCAAACGAAAGGAATCGTTGGCTGCGAGGGCCGAGTCCTGGAAGAGCTGAAAGTGCATAAATTGTTGCCTTCTTTACAGAGCTGTAATAATTGCAAAGCACTTGTAAGCACCTGGCCAAAACTTTTTCCCAAGACCGTGCTCCCCCACTTGCTGATGAGCTGTGCAAATTGCCCGCCTGGCAGCTAATTGGCTAAATAATAAGATTTTAGAAGGGATTTTGCAAGGCAGACATGCTTTTATTAAAAATAATTTAAATATAAATCATAAGGCCAAGGTTGTGGAAATTGGTTTATTGGCTAATAAGAAACGACTGAAATCAAAAGCCCATAATCTGGCATAGTGACCTCTGTAATTGTAAATTTATTGCAAAACGCTCCGCTGATTCCTTGGCTTTCACAATGTCCGTCCGAAAGGAAAACAAAACCATGGTCTTTATTTTCTCTTAACTTCTTTTGTGGCTTTTGTGTGGCGGCTACATTTTTATTGCCTCTTCATCTGCTCTGTTTGTTTTGCCTGCGACTTTAATGCCGCCTAATCTTGGCCGTTTACCGAAAAACGGTGCCCCAAGGAGCGCTAGTCAAATGAATTGCATTATGATTGCCAGACCACAAAAAGGATCCGGGTAGGGGTTCAGGCCAGGGAGGATGCTGTGGCTTGGCAAGTGTGCAGCATAAATTCCCGGAAAATATTGTCATCTCCAAAGCAAACCGAAGAAAGTTTATTCAGTTGGGAAGTGGATGAAAGTTTCACTCTGTTCTGGAAATTGATTTAGATTTAAAATATACGCTTAC